TGGTTTGAATGAGTGGCATCTTTAATAGGTAATTGGATCACATAATTCCATCGCAGGAAACTTTTTGTCCCATAGTTTACCCCCTTTGGCCCATTATAATGTTTTTACCTTGTGTCATTGGGTAAGGTTTTATGTCTATATTCAAATCATGGATCAGGTGATGGGCATATGGATATAGCATTGAACATATACTGATGGTTGACATTATACCTGATGCTGCTGTGCGCAAAGCAATGAAGGATCAATGCAGGTAGTGACCTTGGTCTATTACCTTGCTGTTTGCTGTATCCAGATGTATTTTTATTTTTCAATTTCCAACATTAGTATAAAGTAATTTCTTAAAGAGTGAGAAAATAATGCGACAATTGTTTTTGGCTTGATAATTTAATGTCTGATATCAGTAGATGTAAGACAGGGGATTAAATGTACACTTATAAGCTAGATGTTATTCAGGCTTAATATTATGTATTTAGTAACTGAACACTAATCAATCTCTCATTACAGCTCAAAGACTTAAGCTTGCTAGTGTATACAAAGGGGAAGCTAGAAAGATTCTCCAAGTTAAAAGGCAGAAGCGAAGCTGAAGCCAAGTACCTTGGTGGAGTAGGAGTGGCGAGACAACGACAGGCAATTACAGATGTTTGAGAGAGAACATCTTGAACTTCTCCTCAGTTGGAAGGGCCCTCAGCTAAGGAGTGATTTCTCATCATGGTCACTCATTTTTCGAACAATTAAGGACCTTGGAAACTCATCAAGAACACCACTGTTTTTATACCCCATGGTCCTGGCATGTTAGGGATATACACAGAGCAGAATACGCAATGGGTGATGGAGGTGCGGTGCTGAAATAAAATCGAGTGATTTTGGCCCCTGAGCCTATTGTCCAACATTGCTGCCCTTGGTAAAGTTCTATCTTTTAATTTAGAGAGGCGGGATAAAAGATGGCGTTCAAACAGTTAATACATTTACATTACATCATATAGTATAGTGCTAATGGGTCCATATTACTGATAGTCTCGTGAGTTGTGTAACCAATATTTTCATGTTTTGTTTGATCATCATTTGAATGGATAATTTCTGTTATTTTTTTTTTTCAAGGCTGTATAAGCTCTGGAAACAAGTATTGCTAATAATTTTGAAAACCGTGATTAATATTATATACCTACAAATATATCTTCTAGAGGAGAATTGTGGTTGGCCACCAAGGTTGCATGCCGTGTAGAAACTTGACCATAATAAAACTTTTTTGCCACATGTAGCCAGTAAGTACTTGCATGAGTAACGTTTTCCTCCCCCAAGGTTCCTAATGACATTTCCATCCCAAAATTTTTAAATACCACATCTCACACCAAGTTAATATTTTACTATCCAAAGCTATTCTGGAGGTAAAATTCGCTTCACCAACCCATTTGAACTCTAGTCTCCTCTCTATAAAACCTTTTCACTCTTACTTTAATTTTTCTGATTGTCGACATCAAATATAGGTTTTTTGTTTTTAACTAATTTCTGTTATTTTCTGGTAGGAATATTCAATTGTCACTACCACTATATATCCACTGTCTCCACTTTACAAAACTCTTTACCCTGGCTGATAATTCGCAACGTTGATGAGAAAGTGGAAAGTTTTGGATATTAACAATGAAACTTTGGGGAAAAGTGGTATTTTGAAATTTGGGGTGGAAATTCATTAAGGAAAACCTTGGTGGAAAAATTCATGTACTATTATTTCATGTTCGCGTTTGTAGTGCTGGATACAAAGTTGGTGGGGATAACAGAAGTAGATAATATTTACATCAAACGGGTGGAAAGCTACTAGTTTAGATAATATATCGACTACTTTCCTTTAGCACCTCTTTCACCATCCTTGAATTTTCTGAAAGCAAATCTGATGGACTCCCCTGTAGTCGAAAATCACAGTAGCACAACACAACACACACAGCTAAGAATGCACCAAAGCAAAGAGAGAAAATGGCAGATTGTATTAATTGGATGAGATACAGAAACACAGAATGAAAATAACAAGCCAAGTTTCCCAGCAATTCGAGCTGGGACCTCCCAGGCAGCACCTATGAATATATTTTCCCGATATCCTGCCTCCCTCATTTTTCCTTCTCTTTAAAACCCTATTCAGCCTCTACTAATTTGACAGCTAGGTGTTCCCATCCATAACAAACGTTCCCATGCACGTGTCCCTTCCCATAACAGACTTCCCAGGCCTAACTACCCTCCTTTGCACACCTCATCATCCCTTACCCAGTACTCACATCCAACACACCCTCGCCTTTCTTCCTTCCCTTGCCCTTGTACACATAAACCTTGCGTATGGGAGGTCTAACCGCAGATTTTTTACGCGATTTTGGAGCAGGTAAGTCGACACGTGGAAGCTCTAGGATGCATGGCATGCCTGACGTGTCGCTTATCATTCTGACGGGAGCAGGCCACATCTCGTCACGCCTCCCACGTCAACTCTTTATTTCCCAGGCATAACAGATCCCCTAGTTTTTAAGGTTTGAGGATCGAACCTTGGAAACTAACTCGTGCCGTGATATTTTTTTGTCGTTTCGACCTGAATGGAAGAAGCTCGGTGCAGATCCTTTGCGAGCACGACCTCAGCCACCTTGTCCAACGACCTGATGACCATCATTCTAGCAACCTGGATTCGTCGGACGTTCCTTTCTATGCTGTGAGAGATTCAATGAACCTACATCCGCACTGTCGGGGCACTCTGCTCGCGACTGTAATGTGTCAGGTGCATTAAATGCATGGTGTCTGACTCGACGTCGTATTGACAGTCTTTTGACTGCACAACGCATTTGAAACGTCGCCCTTATTATGGCATTTAATGCGACTGGGGCGCAGTTAATGCGGGTAGGAGAAGAAGGCTGTCGCTTCGGTTCCGAGGGTTGCAACAGTCGTTCGTTGCCCATATAAACCGGATGAAGCCGATAAAACCCTTTTGCTTCGAGTGATAAGTCTTTGGCAATCGGAGTGATTCTTTTCCGATCGGTACTTCTCAGACGTTCAAAACAGGATTTGGTCTTAGTTACTCATCCCCAGAAGGTAAAAATCCTTTTTTTTTTTTTTTTTGTTTGGTTGGTGGCACGGCGTTGGGTCCCCTGGTGTCCCACGCAAGACGCGCCATTGTTGCCGGGACTTGACCGTAGGTGGTGGCTCGGGTCCACTGTTATAGGGCTGTAAGGATTTTGTCCATGCGTCACATGGGACAAAATACAAGGTTAAAATGCGTGTCCTGTCTGTGTTGCAGACTCTAAATGGAACCGTCGACATCCGACCCGAGGAAGGAACTAGCTCTGTCCACGTAGGCGGGAAGTTCCCGCGGACGCGCCCTTGAAGTCTTCTCGGTGTCTCAACCCGAGAAATTTGATGTGATTAAAAGACTAGTATAACGTCCGAGCAGAGGTGTTCCCGCCCACACCAGGTCGTCGCGACATCCTGCCGACGGTCTTGCTGCGATCTCCGAATGAGATCTTCAAGGGTGGAGGGATGATTCCCTTCCATCCTTTCATCAGTCTGTCCTTGGATCACTTCGAATCGCACCGCTGCAGCTAACAACCGAAACTCGTATGTATCGCCGTCGCGATGTACATCGTGTTGCTGCGCGAGCGGCTGGGCGAGCCCACGGCGTGGAGCTTCAGCGTCCGCCTATTATCTCAAAAGAGTAGGGACAAGGATTCGTATTACTTGTCCCCTACCTACCATTGCCGAGGGAGACATAGCTGTGACAAAAATTTTGAACGTGAGAACAATTTCGGAAGCCAGTAATAGCACATGCCACAGCCGGTAGTGGTGCATTATTGCTCACTGCCGCTGCCAAAAGCTGAAATGATCTTAAATCACGATCGTCTAACTGAAAATAAATTCTGATCAGGGTCAATAAAGGCAAGCTGCATGTCATGGCCAGTATCTCTAAGATAGCTTAAGAATTATTGAAAGATTTATCTAATTGGAGGTAACATGAGAATAAGTTCTGGCCTTGTCATTAATTTCCTAAACATTTATCAATTCTAGCTGTTAATGTCCTCAATTAAAGAGACGCTTTGTTAAAGTCCATGAATAAATCTCTAACGGTTGCATTATTTCTGTTAGCTTGTCTTAATGATACACTAATTATGTATTTATTAAACAAACTCCACGTTCTTACTGGATATGAACTCAATAAACAATTCAAGAAAATCAATCTATACGTTGACATTTAATATTTATGGATTTGCATTTCTACCTATTTCTAAAATCTATTTGGTCCACGTACTTCTGTATTTGCACTGTTTTATTATTAAAAAAAAAAAAAAAAATCCTACTAGGGTGTGCAAATTGGGCATAATAAAATTATAATCACCATTGGGTGACCTGATGGTAAAAGAGCAAAGGAAGATATAATATGAGATTTCTCAAGTTCGAATCCTTTTGATAGTAAAAGAGCAACAGGAGGATTTAACATGATTTTCCGAGTTTGAGTCCTCACAATTGCTAATAGGGGTGACTATTAGAGTTCTTACCCATCCAGTCATTTTAGGGTCTCGTAAACTCTTACATAGCCAATAGTTTCAGGGTCCTAAGGTAATAATTAAAGTGTGTGCACGCTAGCTCGGATACCCTTGGTCATTAAAAAAAAAAAAAATGGGGCATAATTCATTACAATTATCTCAAAGACCTAATATATCTTAATATCAAAACAAAAAGATTAGATTAGTGTAATTAAATATTAATCTAACTGAACACAACAAGGTTTAGGTATGTCTCATGGTTTTAAGAGTGAAGATGAAGAGAAATATTTTTTAATTTATATCTACTCAATATAGAACTTCAAATTATTGGATAGATAATTATGATAAATTCAAAATTTAAGTCAAAATCGTTTAACCCAATTAATGTTTATGGTGTTGCTAACAAGTACTGAATATTCAAATGCTTAATTATATAGTAAACACAATTCATTCATATAAACCTTCAAAAATTTAAATCGTTATAAGGCTATTTACAATTAATAGTTCTATTCACCTTAAAGGTTCTAAACCTTGAAAATCTAATTAATTATCTATATATTATAACTAATTAATTACCAATTTTGCTCCCTTCAGCCGGCAGGAAAGTGGAAGAAATGGAAGATAAAGTTCGCCAGGCTTTCTGCCAGCAGGCAACCAAATAGAGCATCAAATAGCTAGAAATAAATCCAACTAAGCTTGAATTACTTTCCCTTGCGGAAATCTGACCCTGAAAACGTGCTCTTCACCAGTGCATTTATCCACCTTAACAATCCACTGACTCCTCCTTCCAAAACTATCAATTTTATTGGCACTTGCGGCAGCTATTCTTGTCACTAAAAGCCCTTCTCCTATCGGCAACAACTGAGTTTTGGATCCACTGGATCGCCACGACCCTTTGCAGAATGCATTGAACCCCACAACAACAGCGCCATTGAGCTTTCTGACTGCTTGGACTGCCCTCAGATTTCCTTCATGGTTCTCAAGCTTGCAATCAATAAGCACGAAATCCGCTTCCCGGTAGTGGCTTAGTAGCAGATTTTGTGCGTCCCCAAGAACAAACTCAACATGGTTTGCGTCCAGGCCAAGGGCTTTTTTAGATAGTTTTAGTTCTTCAAGCCCTTGGAGAATGCAAACTACACGGCCACCAGTTTGATGAGCCGCGGCCACTAAGGCTAGGGTTGTAGAGTTTGCGGCATTGGCACAAGCCACAACCATTAGTTGTGCGTTGCTGCCAGCAGCGAGTGCTGATATGAACTCGGCTTCGTTTGGCTCCTTGGCGTTTTGACCCTGGAAAAAGATCACAGAAAATCAAGTCAGCAAAAGATTGATACAAAACATAAATCGGGAGTAAGAAGTGATAATAAAACTAAATGATACTCACCATTTTCAGGGTTTTGAGATAAGCTTTTGTGGCATTCTCAGCAGACCAGCAAGCCATCTATAATTTTATCTTGAATTTACTTGGAATTTGGATGGGAGAAAGTCTTTTTTTTCAAGGTTATGTTGAAACGATGATGCCTTTGGGTCAAGTGTGATGGAGTTTATATAGAAGCGAGGTTGTGTTATTGAAGGGCTTATGTCATTCCAACTGGCCATGTTAAAAAAAAAAATAATGCATGCAAGTACAAAATGGCATCAACTTGGATAGAATTGGCCCCTCATAATTATTCTTTTTTAACCTGCACATATTTTAGTAAACTAATTCACCTTGCATTACATGCTAGAATATTTCAAAAATTTCTGTTATTACCATTTTTTATTTTTTATTTTTGTTCATCGAGGGTGTTTAGGTCAACTTGCACGTATCTCAATTAATCTCCTAGATCGGAACGCTGAAACTGTCAGTCAAATAAGAGCTCTAATGGTCCCTCTTATTAGTGTCTGGGGGAACTCAAACTCAGAGCTCATGAAACATTTTCTTTGCTCTTTTACTATCAAGCCACCTAGTGGTGGTTATGTTATTACCATTATTAATTATTTTCTTTTTCTCATTTTCCCCAGTAATAATAATTATCTTGAATATATTACTCAAGAGATCTTGAGTTTAACTCTCTTCCATTGTTAATAGGGTGATCAGTGATTACTGGAGAGTTTACTTGATCGTTAATTTCATATTTCCGAAGGATTAGTCGAGTGTTCACAAACTAACTCAAACCACCTAAGTCACAATATATATATATATATTAATAAAGCTTGAGAGAGGTTTAGGTCAACGCCGAAGAGATCACAATACACCATTGATAGCTATGTGTGTAGGTATCATTTTCGCGACCAGCTATCCGAATGATTTTCCAGCACATTAACTTGCGTCCGAGAAGGGTTATACATCGATGCAAGAATTGGTTATCACGCACAGCACGCCCTCCAGGTCCTATGTCAAGGTAGTCCTAATTTCCGATGGTGATCTTGGGATTTCTACTTGGAAGAACCATTACCGTAACTAATTTAACTAAATTAAAATAATTATTTAAATATTTTAAAAGGCCTGCTAATATTTCTTTTGGCCCACAAGAGATCTTAAGTAAGTTTCCAGATACCATCTTAATAATTGTTAAAGTTGTTTAATAGTTGTTCATATTAATTTAGGGGCCTAGCATGATTTATATTTTATTAATAAATAATATTAATATGTCAGGCTCCATATAATTCCCAAATGTTAATCTCATAATTAGCTGTGATGTCCTACATGGAGTGACATACAATAGAGAAATTTAATTAAAATAAATTTATAAAATCTCGACAATGCATTATTATGCTGATATCTTAGAGACAAATCAAACCAGGCTCCATGGTAACTATCTGCAGCTAAGCACAAACTTATATTTTAATTTGAATTTAATATTGAAATGGTGCTAAATCATAAGCAATTTGTACAATGTCCTCTAAGGTACGGGCTGTTTAGAAACTCTAAAAATTCATAATTAATTTAATTAATTGTATTGGAATCATACTTTATGGGTTCTCGGGAGTGTTTTTAGCCTCTCAAAATATATTATCATGGGTTGTCGGTAAAATATATATATTTTTATTAGATTTTAATACTAATTTGATTCTATGGTCTCATAAAATTACTGTAAATGATGCAGTTTCAGTTTAATATATTTTATTCTTTGGTTTTTTTCTTGGCTGTTTTTTTCATTCTGACAGTAGGCCCTTTTTTTGTATATATCCAAAGTAGTGAAATTTTATCTTCAAATGAAGCTGACACGGTTTCCACTCAGCTTTCTCTTGCTGTGAGATGGATGCAATCAATAATCCCATATAATAGAGTTAACGACTTTTTCCACGTAAAAATTGACTTAATAACATTTTCCTACCTATCAATTTTTAAAATATATTTTATTATTTAAATTTATATTTTAGTGACAAACAAAAAGAAAACTTGATCCAAGTGTTAGAGCTTTTGAGAGGTGTGAGATGATTTTTTTTATGGTAAATGTTAGATTTTGGTGGTTAGGATTAATTAGAATTTGGTTTGAGAGGTGTGGTTACGTAAACTCTAATTGCTCATTGTCAGCGATCGACGCGTCGGCGGGAGTAGGGTTTAATGGGTTTTGGTAATGTGATCGGAGAAGAGAACAGTGGTGGTGTGAGATCGCAAAGATGCCAAACTCGGAAACGTACATAACATAAATTTGGATAATAAAGAGATATTTTAAAAGTTTATATGTGAAAAAGTGTTATTAAACCATTATTCGTGTGGGAGAAAGTTGTTTCCTCATATATATATATATATATAAAGCTAGTTATTAGGAACATATTGAAACAATATTTTTATAACAAAAATCACTGTATGAATCTTTTTCTCTGATATCGGATCCATTTTGATCGACTATTTTTGTATTTGTATATACGAAATTTACATATTATCATCATTCATAAGATATATTTTACCATGTAGACCTAACATTATTACTAATTTCCAGCAAAAATTTTCTCAAAAACTGCTTATGGTAATTGAATGGTACTTTTTTTCTATAATGTCAACGAATAACAGTTTGTGTACAAGAACTCATAGAAATTAAGAAATGTTTTCCATTTCATTCCACATATTTATAAAAGTATAAATTAATCAAAGTTTAACTAAGCCTTACCTTTCACCATCTAGGCCCTTGCTGGAGACATGTTATACCCTGCTAAGACAGACGGGGCTTGATGGGACAAGCTCCATGGACATAGCTTAATGACAACAACACAAAAAAAAAAATGACATTTTTAAAGGAGAATTAGAAGAAATATTGCAGGCTTAAGTTAAATTATATAAACTAAAACCAGGTTATATAATTAATTAATTTTTCACAGGAAACAACCCTATTTAGAATACGCCAAGTTGCAAGTAATCCTACACAGAATTAGCTGGCTACATTGAAAGATGTCGAGTTTCTACCACCCAAACGCCATACAGAGATCTAATTCAGATCAAGCTGCTTCCATCCCAAGCACAGAGATAACAAATCAAGCCCCATATAAAAAGTTTTTTGTCTCGAGATTGTGGTCTCTTCAACAATGTGAGAGGTCCCATTTGTCTGATTCTGCAGTGAAAATGATAGAAATTCATACAATGTACTGTAGATTACAATAATCAGATGAGTTCTGGTCAGTTATGGTCTCCCACCCTCATGATATTTAGTATTTTCTCCTCTATCTCTATCTATGAACTTATTTTTATTATTTTCTTGGCTCCAACTGGATTCCGAGAAACTAGTAAGAAAATAAGGGAACGTGGGAGTCAGAAGATGATCAATGAGAAATGGGGAGTGTATATATAAACAAGTTGTGGTCTAAAGCTTCTGCATCCTTTTGAGGACATATCTGCATGGCTCAATACTGTTTCTTTTTTTATATATGCATTGCATCTTGTGTTCTTCTATTATGTATTTGCTATTTGTTTAAGAAAGAAAAGAAATTAAATTAATCTCTTGTATATAGATATGCTTCGGTTGTGTGTGCGTGCGAGCATGGGAATACACTTTGGAGATCTACAAGTGTAAATTGCCCCACTATTTTATAACAATTAATTCGTGTAAGTGTAGCCAAAGTGGCATGTCGTTCACAGTATAGTTCATTAGACGAGGAGTCATCCGCATATTATTTAAGTTATGCCATGTCGTCTATTATGTTGCATGTATCTGCCCTACACACTATTATCTGACAAACGACATATCTGGGTATAATAACTATCAAACATTTTTCTACAATTCTAAAAAATTTCAGAAAGCACTTACATATTTGAAAGAAGTACAAATTTTAATCATATTAAATGATTTTTACAGTACCAAACGCTCTACCAGTTATGAGGCAGGAGTCATATATAAAGTACGTGTAATGGGGTGTAATGGCTCCCCGGATACAATCTGTATGAATGTTAAATAAATTAGTAGTTTAAGCGTGTAAGTAATCTCTATTGGATTTTAGCAAGTTTTTCTGACATATATGCTAGAGCTCTCACATGCAGGTTTATCAGGTTCGATCTTCTTCAGTTCAGTCGTCCATTAGTGCTTGACGCCTTAAAGGCTGAGTTTCTGCACTGACTACTGAGCTTGGTCTGAACATAGTAAAGTTGAGGAGAATGGCTCAACTGATAACATTGGAGAGAAGTGGTTCTAGTCAATTCCACTCATGAAGAAGAAGACAAAGGAACTGTATCAATTGAATATGATAAACTATGAGGAAGAATTAATTGAATATCAGAAAACTTTTGAGTCACTGTTTTGCACAAGTAATCTTCATATATTGATTTTAACTCCATTATTATATCTCTATAGTAGTTTTCTTTCTTGTAAATTACATGTAATTTGATTGATTTAACAAACCCAAATAAAAATATAGTAAAAGAATCAAAATAGACATGATATGATGAGTAATGTGATGAGTATCCTTAGTAAAATGGTGGGGTTGCATTTAAAATAATGAATTTTTCAATGAATTTTCCGGAATGAAAATAGAGACAACAGCGAGAACAAAATAACAGCACAACAAATCACGGACATAAACGAGAAAATAACACGCGTGATTTATCATGGTTCACCCAATAGGGCTCTATCCAATCAATTTATTACAATACTTTCTCACCCTCTCTTTTTTGCAATGAATGAATTACCCTATAATTGCTATCACACTCATAAAGAGAAAATATTTTTATATACTAGATTTAAAGTGACAAAACCTAATTTTATAAGGATTCATATTCCTAAGTCCAAACCTAATAAATTATTAAAGACTTAAAGAAATCCTACAACGGTTCTACATAGAAAGGCTCAAACCGCCTACAGGCCTGGGGGGTCTGCCCTCACAACCCCCACCCGCTCACCGAGGAGCAGGGCTCTCGCCTACTAACCAGTCAATGGACTCCCAAATATGTTTATGTAACCATTAATAGCTGAAATAGTTGACAACACCACTTGGAAAAGAGGGTTTCAAAGTTTGTCCAATAGTGAACGCTGAAATTCAGCTAGAATTTCATTGTGGCTGGACAGGTTTAATGCCGTCACTGATATAGGTTGAATTAACCTCTTCGGAATATTTGGCCGAATTGTAATTGGACTTCATGTGTATAAATGCCTCTTTGTAGATGATTGAGTGGTGTTATCGAAGCCCCAACAATTCTTTTGACCCCTTTAATTCTTTTTCTATGATTTTAAAGTACATTTTAATTACTTTAAGTCTTTTTCATAGCCATTAATTAATTAATTAGCCACCTCTCAAGCCTTTGAACAGTTGAATGGATAAACATAAATATTCTAAGAATTACTTTAAATTTATTACGTCACGATCAAATCATCAAATCTAACTTATGCCTTAACCGCGAAACTCAAACCTCACGATAAATCCAGTACGTTCGCACTCAGCTTGGCGCTTACACAAGGAGAAAAATCAAACAAAAAGTTATAATAAAGAGTTAAAAGGCTTCCAAAAGAAGAAAACGAAGAACGGAGAGATGGGAATACGTTTTGTGTAGTTTGGTGCATAGACCAGGCCAGTATCGGCGTGGTCGAGAAATGGGGCCGGTTCGACAAGTTGGCTCAGCCGGGGTTCAACCTTTTCAATCCTTTCGCTGGTGAATGGCTCGCGGGAGTGATGTCCACCAGGATCAGTTCCCTCGATGTCCGCATCGAAACCAAAACCAAGGTATTTGCATTCTTACTTTTGGGTTATTATTATTATTATTATTATTATTTGGTTGTTTGTTTCATTTATATTGATAAGGAAATGTGTGAGTGTTTGATTTGTTTGTTGAATTTGTATGATTGATTGATTAGAGGTGTGTTTGTTTTGGAGGGTTTATAATTGATATCATCACAATGACAAAAGAAGAGGATTCTTAAGCTACAAATTTTGTGCTTTTTGAAGATTGTAGGGTTTGGTGGTGCCTTGAATTCGGACTTTGGGGAATTCTTGAATTTAAAAAATAAAATAAAAGTGATTTATAACGTGTGTTTTGATTCATAACGTATGTTAACTCATGTAGGTTAGTGTCTTATATGGAGAATGTCTAAAAAAGTTGTTGATTGAATTTGGGCAATTGGTTTTATGATGTAGGGAAAATATCCTGGAGTGGCATTTAGTTGCCGTTTCGTATATCTAGCTAAGATATGAATGAAATAGAAAACATAAAACCTGAGGTGGGGATGGGGATGGGGTTCTGAAGCATTAGACGTTTTGAAATTATATGTTCTTAAGGTTGGTTGATGATATTTTGACATAAGATGGTTGCAAGAAGGTGTAATTTCTGGCTTTGGATTTATAGTCGAAAGTGAGATTTATGTTACATATGGCTTGGTGAACAAGGACGAAATTCTTATTTATGGAAAACTAGCTTATACGATGTTTCATACAATTATACTTTCACCTGAAGGACTTTATGTTGTCATTCATACAGGTAGAAACATTCGTTTCTTGTCATAAAAATATGTAGGAACAAACCAAACTTTCTCCTGTCCAGTTAGTTTGTCATGTATGGACTATGAACCAAGAAAAAGGTCATCCCAATAGTAAGTTTCTCCTTGTGATGGTTGTAGTTAAAATTATCAATGTATATTTTGCATCACTCAAATATGAGCCAAGATTGTTTGCAACGGAATATTTTGTGACATTTTGAATAAGACACTTAACAGATATGCTTGGCTTTGAGATGCTACTAGGAATTTTTCTTGTAAAAAGACTGGCCCTGAATTTATCATTCTAGTAGGAAATTGGTATTGTTATTTGTTTCTTATCTTTTTTTCTGCTGTTTTCAGTATACTTGATTGAGAATATCTATTGTGAGTTGAGATATTTTCTTGCTCTATATGTATAAAAAATGGCCCTGTAAATTTCAGGACAATGTCTTTGTGCAACTGCTTTGCTCAATTCAATACCGGATAGTCACACAAAATGCTGATGATGCATTTTATGAGTTGCAAAACCCCAAAGAGCAGATCCAGGCTTATGTATTTGATGGTACATATGATAATGTTCTTAAAACTTTCATCTTTATATTGGTATATGCTTTTTGTTTCTTCCTTCCTTCTTAATGTCCTCTAATTATGCATTTCTTAGTGGTTCGTGCTGTTGTTCCGCGAATGACATTGGATGAGCTCTTTGAACAGAAGGGTGAAGTTGCTAAATCTGTTTTGGAAGAACTTGAGAAGGTAACTAGATTGTTTTTGTATTCTAATATTTTTAGTACCTCTTGTGCTTAAAAGCTGCATGTTATGTTATATGTTTTTCCTTGTGTTTCTCTATCTATTCTCTGTGATGATCTGGCATATTAGAAGATTTTTATGTACATGAGTAAAAGATTGGGTTTGCAAGGAATAGATTTTTTTTTTTTTTTTTTTCATTTATCAGGAAAACTTTCTATTGCTTTTTCTGTCATTTTTTGCTTTGTGCGTCTTGCTCAACTTTAGATATTATTCATGTGCATATTATCGCCCTTTTTTTCTTTTTAAAAAAAAAAAAAAGGAATAAAAGAAGAGGAAAACAAGGTTTTTTCATGGTAATTATAGTCTTTGGTTCTATGAAGTTTGAATTCAAAGTTCTATGATCCTGCATAGAACATATAAAATTATTTCTTTAATTGTCAAATGTGAAATGTCTAAAGTGCTTTGCTTTTTTTTTTTTTTTTTTTTTTTCTAATCATATGATTTGTAATCAAGGATAATAACATTTACTGTGACGCTCTTCTCTAGTTATTATTGGGCTTATTTCACTTGAATGTCCATTGTTGATTCTCTGATGGTTTGAATGAGTGGAATCTTTAATAGGTAATTGGATCAACATAATATCCATCGCAGGAAACTTTTGTTTCCCATAGTTTACCCCTTTGGCCCAATTATATATGTTTTTACCTTGTGTCATTGGGTAACGGGTTTTTATGTTCTATATTCAAATCATGGATCAGGTGATGGGAGCATATGGATATAGCATTGAACATATACTGATGGTTGACATTATACCTGATGCTGCTGTGCGCAAAGCAATGAATGAGATCAATGCAGGTAGTGACCTTGGTCTATTACCTTGCTGTTTGCTGTATCCAGATGTATTTTTATTTTTCAATTTCCAACATTAGTATAAAGTAATTTCTTAAAGAGTAAGAAAGATAATGCGACAATTGTTTTTGGCTTGATAATTTAATGTCTGATATCAGTAGATGTAAGACATAGGGGATTAAATGTACACTTATAAGCTAGATGTTATTCAGGCTTAATATTATGTTATTTAGTAACTGAACACTAATCAATCTCTCATTACAGCTCAAAGACTTAAGCTTGCTAGTGTATACAAAGGGGAAGCTGAGAAGATTCTCCAAGTTAAAAGAGCAGAAGCGGAAGCTGAAGCCAAGTACCTTGGTGGAGTAGGAGTGGCGAGACAACGACAGGCAATTACAGATGGTTTGAGAGAGAACATCTTGAACTTCTCTCACAAGGTGGAAGGCGCCTCAGCTAAGGAAGTGATGGATCTCATCATGGTCACTCAGTATTTCGACACAATTAAGGACCTTGGAAACTCATCAAAGAACACCACTGTTTTTATACCCCATGGTCCTGGCCATGTTAGGGATATCACAGAGCAGATACGCAATGGGATGATGGAGGGTGCCTGTGCTGAAATAAAAATCGAGTGATTTTGGCCCCTGAGCAGTTATTGTCCAACATTGCTGCCCTGGGTAAAGTTCTATCTTTTAATTTAGAGAGGCTGGGTAAAATAGATGGCGTTCAAACTAGTTAATACAGTTACATTACATCATATAGTATAGTGCGTAATGGCGTCCATATTACTGTATAGTCTCTGAGGTTGTGTAAACAATATTTTCATGTTTTGTTTGATCATCATTTGAATGGATAATTTCTGTTATTTTGTTTTCAAGGCTGTATAAGCTCTGGAAACAAGTATTGCTAATAATTTTGAAAACCGATGATTAATATGATATACCTACAAATATATCTTCTAGAGGAGGAATTGTGGTTGGCCACCAAGGTTGCATGGCCGTGTAGAAACTTGACCATAATAAAACTTTCTTGCCAGCATGTTGAAGTCCAGTAAGTACTTGCATGAGTAAACGTTTTCCCACCCAAGGTTAGCCTTAATGACATTTCCATCCAAAATGTTTTAAAATACCACATTCTCACCCAAAGTTAATATTCCGTTACTATCCAAAGCTGATTCTGGAGGTAAAAATTTGCTTCACCAACACCATTTGAACTCTAGTCTCCTCTCTATAAAACCATTTTCACTCTTAACATTTAATTTTTCATTGATTGTCGACAATTGCAAAGTTAGGGTTTTTTGTTTTTAACTAATTTCTGGTTGATTCTGGTAGCGAATATTCAATCTGTCACCACTATTATATCCACTGGTCTCCACTTTACAAAACCTTTCTTACCCTGGCTGATAATTCGTCTAACGTTGGATGAGAAAGTGGAAAGTATTTTGGATATTAACATAATGTAAACTTTGGGAGGAAAAGTGGTATTTTGAAATTTTGGGGTGAGAAATGTCATTAAGGAAAACCTTGAGTAGGAAAAAGTCATGTACTATTACTTGCATGGTTCGCGTTTGTAGGTTGCTGGATACAAAGTTGGTGAGGGATACAGAAGTAGATAATATTTACATCAAACGGGTGGAAAGCTACTACGTTTAGATAATATATCTAACTACTTCCCTTTAGCACCTCTTTCACCATCCTTGAATTTTCTGAAAGCAAATCTGATGGAACTCCCTGTAGTCGAAAAATCACAGTAGCACACACAACACACACAGCTAAAGAAATGCACCAAAGCAAAGAGAGAAAATGGCAGATTGTATTAATTGGAATGAGATAACAGAAACACAGAATGAAAATAACAAGCCAAGTTCCCAGCAATTCGAGCTGGGGACCTCCCAAGCAGCCTATGAAATATATTTTTCCCGATATCCTGCCTCCCTCATTTCCTTCTCTTTATAAACCCTTATTCAGCCTCTAACTAATTGACAGCTAGGTGTTCCCATCCATAACAAACTTCCCATGCACGTGTCCCTTCCCATAACAGACTTCCCAGGCCTAACTACCCTCCTTGCACACCTCATCATCCCTTACCAGACTCACATCCAACACACCCTCGCCTTTCTTCCTTCCCTTGCCCTTGTACACATAAACCTTGCGTATGGGAGGTCTAACAGCAGATTTTACGCGATTTGGAGCAGGTAAGCGGACACGTGGAAGCTCTAGGATGCATGGCAGGCCTGACGTGCGCTTATCATTCTGACGGGAGCAGGCCACATCTCGTCACGCGCTCCCACGTCAACTCTTTATTTCCCAGGCATAACAGAAGTCCCCTAGTTTTTAAGGTTTGAGGATCGAACCTTGGAAACTAACTCGTGCCGTGATAGGTTTTGGTCGTTTCGACCTGAATGGAAGAAGCTCGGTGCAGAATCCTTTGCGAGCACGACCTCGAGCCACCCTTGTCCAAACGACCTGATGACCATCATTCTAGCAACCTGGATTCGTCGGACGTTCCTTTCTATGCTGTGGAGAGATTCAATGAACCTACATCCGCACTGTCGGGCACTCTGCTCGCGCTGTAATGTGTCAGGTGCATTAAATGCATGGTGTGCTGACTCGACGTCGTATTGACAGCTTTTGACTGCACAACGCATTTGAAACGTCAGCCCTTATTATGGCATTTAATGCGGTCTCCCCCCCTCATGATATTTAGTATTTTCTCCTCTATTCTATGAACTTTTTTATTATTTTCTTGGCTGCAACTGATTCCGAGAATAGTAAGAAAATAAAGGGAACGTGGGAGTCAGAAGATGATCAATGAGAATGGGAGTGTATAATATAAACAAGTTGTGGTCTAAAGCTTCTGCATCCTTTTGAGGGACATATCTGCATGGCTCAATACTGTTTCTTTTTTTATATTGCATTGCATCTTGTGTTCTTCTATTATGTATATTGCTATTTGTTAAGAAAGAAAAAAATTAAATTAATCTCTTGTATATAGATATGCTTCGGTGTGTGTGCGTGCGAGCATGGGAATACACTTTTGGAGATCTACAAGGTAAATTGCCCACTATTTTATAACAATTAATTCGTGTAAGTGTAGCCAAAGTGGCATGTCTTTTCAGTATAGTTCATTAGACGAGGATTCATCCGCATATTATTTAAGTTATGCCATGTCGTCTATTATGTTGCATGTTCTGCCCTACACACTATTATCTGACAAACGACATATCTGGGTATAATACTACAAACATTTTTCTACATATTCTAAAAATTTCAGAAAGCACTTACATATTTGAAAGAAGTACAAATTTTTTAATCATATTAAATGATTTTTTACAGTACCAAACGCTCTACCAGTTATGAGGCAAGGAGTACATATATAAAGTAACGTGTAATGGGGTGTATGGATGCTCCCCTGGATACAATCTTTGAATGTTAAATAAATTAGTAGTTAAGCGTGTAAGTATCTCTATTGGATTTTAGCAAGTTTTTCTGACATATATGTGCTAGCTCTCACATGCAGGTTTATCAGGTTCGATCTTCTTCAGTTCAGTCGTCCATTAGTGCTTGACGCCTTAAAGGCTGAGTTTTGCACTGACTACGATGCTTGGTCTGAACATATCATAAGTTGAGGAAATGGCTCAACTGATAACATTGGAGAGAAGTGGTTCTAGTCAATTCCACTCATGAAGAAGAAGACAAGGAACTGTATCATTGAATATGATAAACTATGAGGAGAGAATTAATTGAATATCAAGAAACTTTGAGTCACTGTTTTGCACAAGTAATCTTCATATATTGATTTTACTCCATTATTATATCTCTTAGTAGAGTTTTCTTCTTGTAAATTACATGTAATTTGATTGATTTAACTAAACCCAAATAGAAAATATAGTAAAAGAATCAAAATAGACATGATATGATGAGTAATGTGAGTGAGTATCCTTAGTAAATGGTGGTGGTGCATTTAAAAATAATGAATTTTTCAATGAATTTTCCGGAATGAACGAAATAGAGACAACAGCGGAACAAAATAACAGCACAACAATCACGACAGTAAACAAAGAAAATAACACACGCGTGATTTATCATGGTTCACCCAATATGGCTATATCTAGCCAAGTCAATATATTACAATACTTTCTCACCTCTCTCTTTTGCAATAAGTGAATTACCCTATAATTGCTATCACACTCATAACGAGAAAAATATGTTTTATACTAGATTTAAAGTGACAAAACCTAATTTTATAAGGATTCATATTCCTAAGTCCAACCTAATAATTTTAAAGATTAAAGAACCTACAGCGGTTCTACATAGAAAGGCTCAAACCGCCTACAGCTGGGGGGTGCCCCACAACCCCCACCCGCTCACCGAGGAGCAGGGCTCTCGCCTACTAACCAGTCATGGGACTCCCAAATATGTTTATGTAACCTATTAATGCTGAAATAGTTGACAACACCAACTTGGAAAAGAGGGTTTCAAAAGTTTGTCCAATAGTGAAGCGCTGAAATTCAGCTAAGAATTTCATGTGGGCTGGACAGGTTTAATGCCGTCACTGATATAGGTTGAATCACTCTTCGGAATATTTGGGCCGAATTGTAATTGGACTTCAATGGTAATAAATGGGCCTCTTTGTAGATGATTGAGTGGTGTTATCGAAGCCCCAACAATTCTCTTGGACCCCTTTAATTCTTTTCTATGATTTTAAGTACATTTAATTACTTTTAGTCTTTTTCATAGCCAATTAATTATTAATGCCACCTCTCAAAGGCCTTTGACAGTTGAATGGATAAACATAAATATTCTAAGAATTACTTTAAAATTTATTACGTTCACGATCATAATCATCAAATCTAACTTATGCCTTAACCGCGAAACTCAAACCTCACGATAAATCCAGTACGTCGCACTCAGCTTGGCGCTTACACAAGGAGAAAAATCAAACAAAAACAGTTAAATAAAGAGTTAAAAGGCTTCCAAAGAAAACGGAAGAACGGAGAGATGGGAATACGTTTGTGTAGTTGTTGGTGCATAGACCAGGCCAGTATCGGCGTGGTCGAGAAATGGGGCCGGTTCGACAAGTTGGCTCAGCCGGTCAACCTTTTCAATCCTTTCGCTGGTAATGGCTCGCGGGGTGATGTCCACCAGGATCAGTTCCCTCGATGTCCGCATCGAAACCAAAACCAAGGTATTTGCATTCTTACTTTTGGGTTATTATTATTATTATTTTTTTGGTTGTTTGTTTCATTTATATTGATAAGGAAATGTGTGAGTGTTTGATTTGTTTGTTGAATTTGTATGATTGATTGATTAGAGGTGGGTTTGTTTTGGAGGGTTTATAATTGATATCATCACAATGACAAAAGAAGAGGATTTAAGCTACAAATTTTGTGCTTTTTGAAGATTGTAGTTTGTGGTCCTTGAATTCGGACTTTGGGGAATTCTTGAATTTAAAAAATAAAAATAAAGTGATTTATAACGTGTGTTTTGATTCATAAGTATGTTAACTCATGTAGGTTAGTGTCTTATATGAATGTCTAAAAAGTTGTTGATTATTGGCAATTGGTTTTATGATGTAGGAAAATATCCTGGAGTGGCATTTAGTTGCCGTTTCGTATATCTAGCTAAGATATGAATGAAATAGAAAACTAAAACCTGAGGTGGGGATGGGGATGGGTTCTGAAGCATTAGACGTTTTGAAATTATATGTTCTTAAGGTTGGTTGATGATTTTGACATAAGATGGTTGCAAGAGGGTTAATTTCTGGCTTTGGATTTATAGTCGAAAGTGAGATTTATGTTACATGCTTGGTGAACAAGGACAATTTCTTATTTATGGAAACTAGCTTATACGATGTTTCATACAATTATACTTCACCTGAAGGACTTTATGTTGTCATTCATACAGGAGAAAC